GGCTGCCCCCTATCCCTCTGCTCCACGTGTCTCTATCTCCCCTTCGGCTCACACCCGGGCTGCCCCATGCATGAAGGGTAATTGCTGCAGCTACCTCTCTCCTGTCCCCATGTACCCCTCTCGCCACAGGGCAGGCCTGAACAGCTCCCTGTGGGGCCCAACAGTCCCCTGTCCCCATGGACTCTACCTATGGCCCTCCCTGGACCCTTCTCACGAAGGCCTAGCCCCCCTTCTGCTGCCCCCGCCCCCCGCGTTTTATACTCTGGACTTGTCCAATAAAGGATTTTAACCCCATGTCAGAATGGAGACAATGCCAGGGCTCGGGGCAATTCGGTGTGGAGCTTCAGGGGCTGGATGTGGGGCAGCATTGAGGTCAGCCAAGCCCAGTGCCCAGAGTGGGGAAGGAAGCACATTCAGTGCTTTGGGCAGCGAGCAGCCAGGGAGTGGGGTCCCGTATGCTGGGAGAGTTGCTGCAGCTCTGCTTGCTGCAGGGCTGGGACCGGCTTTCCTAGGTGCCCCGTGTGCCTGGCTTGCTGCCAGCTGTGCCAAGTGCCGGTTTAGCCATGGCATGCAGGAAGCTGGGCAGGCAGCCCAGAGCTGGGCACTGAAGCCAGCCTGTGACCCTGCGATGGCACCGAGGGCCTGGTGCTGCAGTGCAGGGAGGAGCTGGGGGACAGTTGTAACCCTCTGGAGGCCCTGGAGAAGGGGTCCTGGTCTCCTTCCTGTAGCCCTGCTCTGCCTGGCGAATTGTGCAGGACTCTGCTGGGAGAATTTTCCTGTTCCTGATTGTGGAGAGAGAGTCCAACAGCCGCCTGTGCTCTAGTGCTCCAGGAGGGCACAGGGGTGCAGTGGGGGCAGGACCTCAGATGGGTCAGACCAAGGGCCCATTGTTACCTGCCAGCCCTGTGCTCCTGGGGAGCCAGGTAGTGATAGCTCCGGGAAAACAACCCCCTCCCCTAGGCCTCTGCTTGAATCCCAGACAAAGCAAGGAAAAGGCCAGGGGAGACCCAGCTCAACTCCTCCAGACAAGGGGGATAGGACTCAGAAAACAGCCCAGCCTCATCTGCATTGGCTACAGCATGGAGACCAGCTCTTCCCAAGCAGGAACCGCACTGAACTGAAAGCAGAGAAGCATGGCCTGATGGGAAATCTCTGCTCCAGATGCTAATGAACCCAGGTTTACTCACCCCCAAATTAGTTGTCATCAGACCAATTCTAGTAATGGATCCTGCTATCCAAAATACTGAAACTGCCTAGTTGCATTGTGAGCTTTCCTTGGAACATCCCCCTAGTCAGTCTCTATTGTCTCACCTGTCTGCCCATAAGCAAATCCACTGTTCTCTTTGCCCTATTGTCTTGTCCCTACAAAAATGCCTACCCTTGCGCAAGAAAAACTCTTCTGATACCTGGATTTAAACTGCATCAGTTCCATTGAGACAACTTTATCTCCTGCCTGATCGTACTGGAGGCTCTGCTCTGCTTGTCTCCTGCCCTCTAGACCCCTGTGCCGTAGTGGGGGTGCTGTCTGCTCTGTAACCCGGGGTTCCCCTGTAGTGCGCTGTGTGATTCCCACTGACTCGCCCACATGTGTATTGGCCCAGACACCTAGTCCCAGCCTGAGCAGATAAGTCTCTTGGGG